ACGCCCAAGTAGGATTTAATCAAAGTTTACGCTCCTGCCGATACTTCCTCCGACCGACGAGAGTCTCGAGTGTATCCGCGGTTAATCTGGCTGAGACAGGATGGTGAAGAAAAGTCGAGCATCGGGGACGAGGCTATCGCCTTGCTTCAAATTACATGAATCGATGGAAACAGGGACAATGGGAGTGAGCCAAGCCCTGTTCCACCAGCGTCATTGTTGAAATTATTTCACGCAATTATTTCATCTGCAATAGGTTCCAACTACGGATGCCGGTGGTTGGTGCCGAGAAGGAGGGCGGGTCGACCCGCGAGGAGACGGGGCTTCAGAGACCCCATTCCGCCCTGGTTCGCAAGCCCGAGCCAGGGGGGATCGGGCAAAGACCGCGGCCGCGGTCAGCGTCAGTGCGGCGACAGAGTCGGAGCGTGGCATTGCGGGAACTTTCACTGGTGCACGACCGGTGGAACAATCGACAGGAGCATCGGGGGACCGTGCGCGTGAGCTACCCGCGCGACGCAATTCGGCAGCCGACATCGGCTTGGCCGCAGCTTGTGGCCATGGACGCGGCCGCGCCACACCCACTGGAGCGGTGGTCGCCACGATTTGAGCGCGCGAAGCAGAAGCGTCTTCAGCATGAGTATAACAAGGCACAGAAGGCGCGCGTGGAGCTGCACCGACCCGAGCGAAGGCGCGCGGCGGAAGCGCGCTCCAAGCGAAGCAAGCTCTGGCTTGCCCGCGTCATCCACATTGGCCTTCGTGCATCCCTGCTCGCACATTGTCTCGGGGCGGATCGGAACCTCACCTGGGACGTTCCCTGGGACTGGGGTGACGACAGCAAGGATGGCGACAGCCAACTCTGCGTCGATGACGACGCCAGTGGGGCACAACGTCAACGCCTAGAGCGTGGAGTATCGTTGGCGTCACTCGACGACCGTAGACGGAAATGTGACAAGATCAAGGAAAAGGAGAAGTGGCGGAACGAGCGTAGGCAGGAGTATATCGC